GCCAAAATTTGGCCAGGCCAACCCAATACAATGCAGAAGACTGTTTAGCCTTTTAAATTACAGTCTTTGCAAAGGAGATGTTCAATACTTTGAAACTGCTCCACTCCCCAAGGATTTTATGTGTTTCCTTGCTTGCATACTTTGTTTCCTAGAATGATTTTGAAGACAAAGAAAGTGTGGAAACTGAGAATGGCATGACGCAGGGAGATAAGCTTAATGCCTTAAAAAGTCGGAGACGGACATGTTCTGCTACAACTGGAGCTCTGAGGTAATCAATTAATTTGGAGGTAATTTGCAATTTTAAATTCAGTTTACACTGTCAGATTCTTCTGTGGAGGAAATGTCTTTAGGTGTATACCTGTTGTTTTGCGATTTTATTCGTTAATTTTATTTTTTTTAACCTCTGTCTTCCTGTTCAGGTTACCTAGTTATTATGTAGCAGTAAAAGAAAGTTAAAAATATCTCAAAGCCTTCACACTTATATCTGTAATTTTAAAACTTATGTCTCAAATAAAGTATTATTCCATGAACTTAGTTATCTTTCTATAAATCCTTTTCTCCTTGTATAAATTTTGAGTTTCTCAGAACCAGTAAAAATGTGAAGTTTAAATATAAACCTGAGATCTCTTTTGTTTAACTGTAAATTAAAATAATGATTGCCAACAATTCGTAACTCTTAACTTGTCTTGTACTTTAAAGCCACTATGAGACATGTAAGTATGCTTTGGAGGAGGGGAAAGGCTTTTTTTCCTTTGAGAAAGATTGCTGCTTTTTGTTTCTTTAGGCTGCAAGATAGGAAACTGCACACCAGGTCAATATCACAACCTTTCAGGTATTAACTTTAGTTTTTAAGTTCTAAATGTGTACCATTTGGTCTTAAATTTTCAGTGTTTTGAGTTATACTTAATTACATCAATTGATTAGCAATCTCAGGCTTCTGAGAAGTGGGAGGTAATGAACTTTTTTTCCAAACACCTGCAAATACAAAAACCAAAAATATAATGGACAGAGGGTACAGCTCTACTTCAGGGATACCTTGAATTCTTATTAATAAATACATAGAAGTAATTTCCTCAGTCATGTTTTCTAATATCTGTGCTGTTACACAATGGAGGAATGACTAGTTAACTCATAACCAGCTTATGTGGTAAAATTATTTATCTCAAAACCCTAAATTTTCTAGATATCGACTAGTGTATCACAGTTTTCTGTCCTATGTCTTTTAGTAGATGAATTAGAGGTATTCCTTAATGGATACCATCTGTACTTATTTTTAGAAGATGTACCAGATAAACATTGAGTTTTAGTACCTTTTCACATTTTAATATGTCCTCACTGCACACTTTACTACACACTTTGGCTCTATAGAAAGTTCCGAACAATAAAGCCAGTAGTTTCTTCTCATTTTCTAAATGTTTATTTCATTTCTCACCTGTACTAATCTCAGACTGTTACTAGTAGTGCCCTCCAAAAGAAAACAAAACAGAGTGAAAATTTACTTAATTCTGCCATTCCTGTAACTCTTAATATTGAGCCTTTCATTTTTGTAAACCGTTGCATCCTTTACCCCACTGCATCTAAAATAGAACATGTAAGACAAAATATGTCATTACAAATTCTCTGCAGTTTTGTGACATCCTGGATTTTGGAGATTGATTGCTCCAGATGTCTAATCTTGGAGATGGTTGTTTACCTGTTCTTTTTGTGTAATTAAAGCTATTTTTGTTCAATGTCATTCCTTATGTGCTTTTGATTGGAGACTTGTACCCAAGGTCTTTCATCCTTTAAGAGCTGGTCATGATAATGTCCTCTTGTCTAAGGATGGAGAGAATTACCTACTACTGTGAGGCTATTCATTTATTAGTTTTTAATAAATGAATATGAACAACTATGTTGTTAACATATTTGAGTAGTCCAGTGTGCCATACCTACAGCTCATTATCAAAATGTGAGGTATTCAGTTGTTAAGAGTCCCCCCAGAGAAAGAGCTTTATGTTCTGTGCAACTTTGTAAAATTGTTCTTGCTCTCATTTTGAAATGATGATGTTCTCGAGAAAGCCTAGTGTTGTGTTTTTCTGTTTATGCTTGCTTTATAAGGACAAAAAGTATTCTTACTCAAATTTATAATCAAAAGTACAAGAAATTTCCTACTAAATGGATACTTAGCCTTAAATTGCTGAGGTGAAGAGATCTGTAATTGTATAATATGGTACAGCAGGGGAAAAACTTGGGAATGGGATATTTGAAAAGTTCTTTGTGAAAAGATATTTAAAACCAGGGAAACTGTTGAGTTTTTGCTGGTGAGTTCTTGGTACTCAGCCTTGAGAATTCACACTTCTTAAAATGCCCATCTATGCATTGAAAGACTATTTGTTTGAGCTGTCTGTTTCACTTTAAAAAAATCTTGCTTCTCACTAAAATTCTGTCCTGCTTTTAGACTGAATACTTCAGGTAGCATAGAAGGATCCGTATCTCCTCTGAAGGCCTCCAAAGGGATGACAGTTAACTCACCATCCGCAGAAAGAATAAGCAGAATTCCCACGTCCTCAGGCTCCAACCTCAAAAGGTGTTTTGCTTCTTCTCGTTTTGGTAGAAATACTTACTGTATACTACAGTGGTTTTCAGCACTTGGTGTTCTTGGGTATTAGAAGGCTTAAATTTACTTACAAAGTGATTTACTGTTCTACTAGCGAAACTTTAGTTGCCTGCAAATTTAAAATACAAAAAAACCCACACCAAAACCTATACTACTGGTATGAGAGTTTTGGTGGGATTCTATCAAGTCAGAAACAGTATTTTGTTGCTCAGGTTATTTTTTTGTTTTGCTCGTTTGAGTTTATAGCAGCTTTGCAAGTATTCTTACAAGTCTATATACTGTTAATCTACAGAAGAATACTGAGTGGTAATTAATATAATTTTTATCAACCCTTGTTTTATTACTATTTAATACAATTATTACTTATAATAAGTAATTATGGGTGTCAGATGAAATTTAGAATGATCAATGCCTTATTAAAGACTTCTAGGCACAAATATTTACTTGAAGATAATAACTAACTAAAGAAATGTTTCAGGACACCCTATTTTTATTCTCAATATTTATCATATTATGTGGTTACCTGAAGACTTGCATCATGTTACTGATTTCAAGCAACAGGAGTTCTTAAACTGTTCTATGTGCACCAAGTACTGCAATGTAGATCAGCCACTGCCTGAGCCTTTTAACACCATCTCCTGCATGTGCATGTGGCTTGGCAGACGTGAAAGCTGGCCGTGGTAGTACTTGAGTAAACAAACTTTGGGAGCTCCTGACAAAGAATTCTGGGTTTCGGTATTTGAGAACTACAAGGTAAACCTGAGTGCCAACACAAATTATTTCAGAACTGTCTGTGTTATTCACCGGGTATCTTCTGAGTTGTCTGTTAATTTATTGTATATATCTGTACATACGTATTTGTATTTTTTTTTCCCTGCATGTGTTTTCTGTTCAGCTTTTCCATAAACTCCAGACTAGCCAGTTCTCTAGGGAACCTGTATACTGCTTCAGATGATGATGATGATGATGAGAGCAAAATGACATCATCGTCCTCTAGGACAGGTTTTTCTGTAAGCCATATCTCCAGCCACTTGAACGGCAGCTTACAGCTGCCTCACAGAAATAACCATGAACTGAACAACAACTTATACAACAGAAACAGCAGTAGTGGCGGCAACCTGAGCAGCCAAGCCAGTTTTCACAGCGCCGTGACAGATGAGTACGCATCAACCTTCCTTTATGGGCCTTACAACTCCTCCGGCATGATACCAAAGTGAATCAATTCCTGTAAGTTCATAGTCACAACTGCACTTTCAGGCATCTGACTGATGCTTTTCTTCCTTGCTTCTGCGAGCAAAGCTGTCGCAAAAAAAAATACCTTAACCCGGCATAATTATCTGACTTCCTTTAGTGTTTCTGAACAGCACCTTTGTTACCTTTTTACTTAACTATAGTTTCTGCTGCTTTTTTTTTCTCTTTCAAGCATCTACATAATGGAGAGTTCACGAAAATAGATCACTCCTGAACTTATACTAACGCTTTTTCTGCCATTCTTTTATAGACCTTCTTCCTCTTAGATGTATTTCAAATTATACATACTTTAAAAGTATATTGTATATCTTAATCTTCATGCAGTAAGAGATTTAAAGAAGCCTTTGCATGTATCATTTGAAATTGAAGGTACAGCGTTCTTAAAGATAGGACTCATTTGAAAGATGAATCCACTTGACTTGAAACCTAGTCCTTTCTTAACCAAAATGTATTTTAGCACAAGATATTTCTGATGACCTCACCATTTTCGCTTTCATTCCTCAACACCTTTGCTGCATTGAGCTTATTTTGTGCCCTTTTTCTGTGTGAAAGGGTCTGTATAAAGAGGATGCATGGCTAAACTCATGCAGCTTGAAAGCGATTCTATACAAAATGCAGAGAAAAGAGATTAGAAAAACTTCAGTTATGAAATCAGAAATAGCTGAAGTTATTTCAGGGAAAAAAAATAAACATATTTACTACATAAATCAAATAACTTAAAATACCTGGTTTCCAAAGATATGATATTCTACTAATTACAGAAATTAGTGCAGTGTTTTTAATAAAATATAATGCCTACAATTAATTAAACCTGTCAGCCTCTGTTTAGTAGTTGTGACAGTTTGAGTTTGTTTGCTTACTTTAGCTGCTGGAAACAAAATTACCTTCATATAAAACTAACTTCAGGATATTACACTTCCTTTTCTGTTTTCTTACCACTGATATAGTTTCAGTGTAAAGAAAGTCTCTGAATGTTACACTTGCAACTGTTTTTGAGTGTGAGGAGCCCCTTGTCTTAAACAGCTGATACGCACACTGCATGTCACTAGGATGTCAGCTGAAAAGTTCATGGGTTGTTTCTCTTTTTTTGTGAGAAACTGAGGGATCTACACTCTTGCTGTCACAGCTAGAGTGTGGCACCACTTGCTGTTCAAAAGCCATGTTTATAGCTTGGGAGTATGAGTTGTACTTTGTGAGGACAGGTGACTATATGAAATAAATTCTCATTGATCCATTGTGGAATTAAATTGCAGGTGTGACTGAAATCAAACTGGTACATTGAAAGCTAAGTTAGTTGAGGGAACTTGATTCTGTATTCTCTTGAATGCAATGAATACTTCCACTGGAAGTATTACTGTGCTAGAATGTACTTGACCTAAAGCCACTATTTAAAATACTTCATGATTTCAGGCTCCTTATTTAAAAGTACATTTAGCTTCTTATCCACTAGAACTTGCCTGGAAATAAATGTTGATATTCCATGATCTTAGGATCAGTTAGTGTTTTGCACTGAGATTAAATTTAAAGCTTTATTTTAAACATCATCAGTAACTTACTTGCAACAGAAAACTTGAATATTGCCACATCCTTTCAGTTTTTTACCTCTTTAATTTGGCTGTGTTTTTACCTGCTACATGGGATTGAGATAAACTGTACATAACTGAGATGTTTCTCAAGTTGGATATAGAAATCACCCTAGTTTTCTTATGATAAAATTTGTTCTAGAACAGAAGAACTGTTTTTAGATTTAGTAACTAATTTGGTTTAATTGCTCCAGATGTACCAACAGTGGTGGAGAGCAATCACTCATCTGAGAACTAAGTAGTAAAGTGTCTGATTATTGTTATTTTTTTTTTAATTTTATTTCTCACCTTCATTATTGTCTCATACTTAACGTAGCTGAACGATAATTGTTTGGAAGGTCAACTCATTCCTAGCCTTTTCTATTCTACCTTCTGTAAATAATATGCTGCCTGCAGCAATTAAGAGATTTTTTTCTATATTCTAGTTACAGCTGCATATTATGCATAAATACATAAACCTACATGCAGAGCCTTAAGGGGAACAAATGCTTTAGAACTGTAATGTGACTCAGTCATGAGAATAAGCTGACATGTTCACAATAGGCCAAAAGTTACAAAAGTACCAAATGGTAATATAAACCATTACAGAACAATAAGCACCTTTTGTCAAAGAGCTTAAAAGGTTGAATGAAAATACAACTTCTTAAAAACTAGGAACTGTTATCTTCTTTGGAAAAATTGTTGCCTTACCTTTGTGCTACAAATAATTTTTAACAAAAGCAAAGTTAGTGAATTTGATCCATAAGCATAGGCTGAGCTAAGTAATTTGTGATGCTTTCTTATTTATGTCTAGCTATTTAAACATTGTGTTAGCACTGTTTTTCTATATAATCTCATAAACCCCTCAATGTTTCAGCATAATGAAATTGACACAAATTCTCCAAATATATGTGGGCAGAGAGGCCGAGCTTACCATATAATCGTCTCTTCTAGTATTGTAGCACGTTTCCTTCTCAAATAAGGATGACTTAGGAATATAGCAAGATCTTTAAATGAGATGCTGTATCCAGTCTTCTCTGGAAGAACATATTGTGATGTGAGAAGCAGCATTTCTTAGAAAGAATCATGACATGCAAAGTCTATATAGCAAAATACAAGTTTCTAACTTACCTATAAAGTAATCTTATTTCAATATAACGATAGTTAAACTGTTCTTCTGCTTAGAAGATCATTTTCAAACATGTCCTGAATTTTGCATATGCTTCTAAATATACCATATGGCCGTGTGCATCTGTCAGAATCACAGTGAAGTGCATTAAATTGTTACCTGGTTTGTGTGCAATTAACTGAGCTGAGTGCAGTTACTGTTATGTCTTGGTGTGTAAGACAAGAGTACGTTATTTGATCATTTAATCTGAGTGGTTTTTGTCTGGTGGTGAGCCTCTGACTTACCAGCTAACATGGATCCATCTTGATGGTGGTTTGTTTTGAAGACTATAGTTTTTCTTGATAACTAGTCCCACTGGTTGAATCCAGTCATGCTTAAAACCTTTTCACTTTTCAACTGAAACTTGATGTATCTTTCCATTATGTCACTGTTTTAGTCCTTTATTAGCTTATTTTCTTGTCATGAAGATATTTCATGCTAGTCATCTCAACTTGGTTGTCTTTTGGTAAGCCAAGGTGGCTCAAAGATCCCTCTGGAAAGTGTTCAAATCCGTTATAGTTTTTGAAAATCCTTCTCCAGGAAGTAGATGTGACACTCTGAACATTCATCTTTGGGGTCGAGAAAGCTGCTACTCAGCTCTGTCCTGCTTATAAATCCCTGGCTTAACTTCTTCAACAGTAATGCATTGGGAGCTCTTGGGGAGGGAAAAAAGAAAGAAAGAGTTCTTGCCATCCAAGGTACTGACTTGGATTTTTAGCCCAATGTCCTGCAATCTCTGCTTTGATTTTTTTATGTGCAACTCTGAGGCAATACATCATCCTAGGTTGATTGGTTTTTTTCCTCTTCTCTTCTTAGTGGGACCAATTAACCAAGCAAAGATGACTGTTTTGTCTTACCACTCCAACCACTGACATCCAGCTATTTTGCTTTTGGTAATGTTCGTTGGTGGTCTTAAGCTCATGAGTAAAATATGGAGTAACATCAAGCCTTAATATCAGTCCTGGCAGAATTCTGTTAAAAACAGAACTCCATTTAATGATTTCCACTTCACTGCTTTACATGCTGAAATTATTTGGAATTTGTGACAGCAGTCTTGTTGCAGTAAGTATTCCCCCTCTTATTAGCAGAATCTCACTTACCTGAGTTAGGTATCAAGCTAACCATCTGTAAACTACAGGTACTCTTATAAAATCATCTTACCATTTTCTAACTTTGCCAGAAAACAGGAGTAACTTTGTATCAACACAAGTGGTGCAGGACCATTTTAAGATGGCTAGGACAGTAATTTCCCATTCTCATTAATCTTCTTTAATCTCATTGCTGAGGAAATTGGGAACTTCATTTTTATGCAATGCAAGTACATCGTTATACTTTTTTCTAGTACGAAAAAGTTATTCAGTACTATTTGATTTTGTAAGTTGACATTTTAAAAGCATTTATTAAAGCTACTGTCCACATTCAATTTAAAACAAAAAATAACCATGGCTATGCCGTCCTGTTGTTGTCAGCCATGTATTTTTTTCCTAATTTTTTTTTCCTTCATCAGTGTAAGCTTATAATCCACTTCCTTTTAATCATGTTTAAGCTGTTGTATGCTGATGAACTAGAAGAAAATAGTGATCTTCACAGAATAGACAACTTTGCCATTCTAGCCAAATAGAATAATTTATTTGTACATTTTACAAATTAAATGCTCTGATTAAACAATCTCTTACGATTATAATTTGCAGAAATACTCTTTAACGAGTATAATCACATTTAAGGTACCACAATAAGATTTTTGCTTTGCTTTTACAACAGTTATAAATCTAAATATCAGTCTTGAAAATACATTTTTATTGAAGGGTATGTAACTGGGTAGTCTAAAAATGAGTCACATTTTAAAGCTTCTGTAGCTGTCATAGAAACTGACAAGATGGAAAAAAAGCAAGAAATTGAGACATGTAGCAGTATTTTAAAATTCATATACATGATCCACTTTTATGATGATACACTTTTAGGATTTTTATTTTTTTTTTAATAAGAACTTACCATTAATGAATCTGGGACAGCCTTTGCAAGAAGAGAGACAAACACTGGTGCATCTTATTGAACTGTAAATTTAGCAGACTCCAAGGATCACTTCAAATGCATATGCATTTTCTGTAACATATCCTGATTTATTTTAGTGGCTCTTGTGTATTCCCAGAACTTCTTGCCTGCTGCAACACTCCTGTTCCAACAGCAGTCTGGGAGAGTTGATGCACAATTCAAAAAACTTAAATTACTTCTTGCA